GGCATGTAGATTGTGTTTCAATTTAATACAAGTATTACATCAGTCCTTAAAAAAATTTATTGCGCAGAAGTTTGTGATGATATTATTCAGTAATGTGCCGTTATTTGGATAATTAGACTTTTATAATTTATGAGACCACTTCGAACTAGGGTTGGTAAAGTCCGTCCTGGTCTGGTCCTAGTCTTGGGACCTATAAGTCTTGTTATACAAACCTGCAGACTAGGTTCATGCATAATAAGTCCAGGATCAAGTCTCAGGACTGAATCTCAGACCTGAATCCTAGGACTTAGGTCCAACCAGTTTTTTTTTTGTCTGATTAACCGTTTCTAAGAGTTTTATCAGGATTCATATCATATTATAAAGGTATTACATAATTACACAATTCAAAATTTATAAATCTCCGATCCACTGAATCATTAAAAGTTTATTGCATAATACCTACACATGATGTAACATATATAAATCGCAAATATTTCACATCCTGCTAATTTTCGAAATTGGATAAAATTAAGAGGATATACTACGCCCAAATACTAATTGAACAGAAACGAACGCAACCAAGCATAACATCCATAAAAATCCAACCACATCACTTTCGCTACCAGAATATTTCCTTTTCACATCAAAAAAGGTAAGAACTTTTTTTTTTCTTTTACTTTCTTTTTTGAATTACGAACTACTATTTCCCTCCAACTTGTTCACCAATTTTATTATCAATCCAACTTTTGGCACATAATGATGCTCTTGTGGTCTCCGGGTGTAACTTGTTTCGAGTTTTTGTGATAGTGTTACCCGCTATAGAAAAGGTTTGCTCACAGGCCAAACTTGTTGCCTGTATGGCAAAATGATCTCTTGCTATTAATGAAAGAGTTGAAACTTAGTTGAATGTGCTCGCCACCAAAGAAGCGAATCCATGTTACTATCAATGGTAAAGCTAAATACCAATCGGTTAAGGTAGAAGTTTGTGATGTTTCAGCAGTTGCTCTTAAATGACATTTTTTTAATTGGTGAAAGTATTCTCGTAGTGATGATGGTGATTTAAAAGTATTTTGAAAACAAAAAGGTTGTGATCGTATTTCTTAAGTAATATATAAGGAAAGTTGTTCTTTTAAGGCATTAATTGCCTTTATCATTTGTTCTCCAACTTCAAAAATGGAATTTTTATTTTGAGGATCTAATAATGCGGCGACTGTGGTTGTATCATCGATTATTGTCCAATATTCTTCAATTTTATGATTTATCGAATCTGCTATCATATATTGATCATAGCCATCTTCTTCAATACAATGTTTTAAATGTGCTTTAATTTCATTAAAGAAATAACGCACATTGGCTATGGTAGGATATGACGAACTAGAAAGAATTATAGTTGTTTTTTCAAGAGGCTCCAAAACAGTAAGTGTTTCCTTGAATAATTAATTGTTATAATTATAAGTTTTTGTTTTATAATATATATATGAAAAATCTACTAATATTATATTTACCTCTATTTTTTTTTCCATGCTAAAGCATCAGGTGTTAAATTTCGTATGTCTTCATGTTTAATTGCAAGCATTTTTAATGCTCTTTCCATTCGTTGCAATTTTTGAAGCATATAAAAGATGGAATTCCACCTTGTTTCTATATCAATTTCAGGTCGAAGGTATTCAAGCTTTTTCATAATACATAATTCGCGTAAATTGTTACATAATAAAACAGAATTTTTAATCTTTGCCATTAACTTGCGTACATTTAATATTTCTTTATCTATTATTTTCATGCTATGTTTAGCTGCAAGGTTGATAATGTTTAAAAGAAAACTGTCTAGAACCTGTTCAAACTCTTCAGCTAGTTTCTTTCCATAGATTACCATTGCTGATTCATTGTCTGTTATAAGTGCTAAAGTTTTAGTTGTTAAATTAAATTCATTAAGAACACTAATAATTGTGTTTGCTATATTAACTCCTGTATGCTGAGTTGAAAAAGGGATAATATCAAGTAGAAAACGTTTAAAATTCCAATCCTGATCAATATAGTGAATAGTTAAACCAAGATATGATTTACTACTTAATGTTGATGTCCACATGTCAGTGGTAAATACAACCTTGCCAGGTATTTTACGTAGATCATATCCAATATTTGACCTTAGTAAATATTTGATCTCATTCTAACTTTTCTTTAGGAGGCCAAGGATCAGTACCCTTAAAATTTAAAATTGTTTATTGTTTATTAACCTTTGGTATTACTATATTATGTTTGCTATCTAGGTGAAGTTCTATACTAGAATTTCCTGACTTTAAAGAGAAAACAAAGTCACATATTTTACATACAGGTACTCCCAGATGAGTTGGAGTTTCGTAACTTATATAATTCCATAAAGAAGAATTTTTACGCGAGTTTTGTGAATTTTGTGAACCTTATGAACTTTTGTATTAGATGTAGTTGATGTTTCATCAGTATCATGAAAATTATAAAAAGGTTCCAATTCATTTTCATTAATATCTACTAAATAAAGAGGTGGATTATATGAACCATTATAAAGGTTTTCCATTATGTATTTTGGCGTTTTACATAAAGTAAACGTGTAATTTTTTTATTGATAAATTTTAATCTTTTTTTTTTAAGCTAAAATTTAATTGGTTAGGACCGGGTCTTTATTAGTCTGAAAAATTGGACTTAAAGATCTGCCTTTAGGTCCAGAACCTGGGACTTTACTAACCCTACTTCAAACCGTAAGTGTAAACCTTTTTTCATACATTGGAGTAATCTTCCTAATCTCTTTTTCATTACTTGCAATTGTGGTGACTTAAATCCAAAATTGTGAAGAGAAATTCAAGATTCCATATCTTGAAATATTTTACGGAAATAACTACAAAAAATTTCAACAAGTTATCAAGTTTCGAGGATAAAAAAGCGGACTGACCTCTAATTTGAAATTTCTGAGTAAAGCTAAGATGTAAATATTGAAAATGAGCATCAGTTTATAGTTTTCGTGAATCAGAAGGGAAAATTACATGTTGAAAGTCCAAATCAAAGGGAGTAAATTTTCTTTGACTTGGTATAAAATGTAGCGATAAATATTCTGTTCAAACACTTCCAACTAATTATGGTAAAAAAAATAAAAATCCTCATTATAAACACAGGTTTATTCAATAATAATGGATAGCTTTATTGGACTTAAGTTTTAGAAGGCCTATTCAAATCCAAACGGAAGTTTTACTTAGTCATGTTACATACACCCACAAATTTTAGAGCTTCACTTCCTTATCAACTTAAAAGAAAGCATTCCATCAAGTATAATCCGTAAGAATACGAAGTACATCGTTAGAATTTTAATGCAAAGGAAGTACTTTGAATTTTTAGCTGACATGTGATATCTACTTTAACCATAATATTCGTAAATATTATGGAGACGTGTAAAACATTCGTAGGACATAAATGAAAGTAAAACGAATGTTACTTTCGTTGATGCACGTACGGAATTATAAGTCCTTTATTGAAATCTTGAATGACTTCATTACGGCTCTATCTATTGTTAGAAATGTGCCAAGAAGTCAAAATTAGAAATATATAAATATTTGTCAAATGGAATCTATTTCGAGGTCCTTACTTTTATTAATGTTTTCGTTTAACTTTTACAACACATTTAAAATAATAACTTCGATTATTCTAAATCGCATTTTTTATTTGAACAATTAATTTATGCATTTGCAAAAAATAATTTGATATACATATACTAGAATCTAGGACAAAATCTGAATTTAATGGTGGGTTTGTAAATATACAATTTTCAATATAAAATTTTGAATAGGAAGTAAAGCTAACGAGAATAGCGTTACTTCCGGATCATTTTTGACCATACCGTTCTAATTATTATTTTTTTTTTTATTTATGAGTTGGAAATCAACGGTCAGTCAAAGTTCTTTGACCGACCGACCGGTTTAGTTGGCCGATTTTAACTGACCGGTTAATAATATTATTATTGAGCAGCTTTGGCTTAATAGAATGTTTAGTTTAGCCAAATATTATACACTTATAGCATGGCATTTTTTAAATCTACTTTGTCATTTTTATTATGGCGCAGCATTATCGCGGACTTTAATTTTTTTTTCAAAATTTTAAAATTTTAATTTATAGATAATTAAAATAAAATGTTGATTTTTTGCTAGTTAAATACAAAGTCCCAAGAGTAGGTCAACCAGTCGGTCGAAATCGGTTAGAATCGGTCGGTCAAAGATTCGGTCAGATGCCTTTGACCGACCGATATCGGTCACGGTTATGACCGGTTATGACCGTGACCATTAGCATCCCTAAATACATCTTTGCGATAATTTCGTTTTCTCCATTTTTAACCTCACAAGTTTTAAATTGTAACTTCGTTTATTAGTGATTAGCTTAGCATATTGACATTGCGAAAAATAGCGCCGACGTTGAGGCAACACTTTTAATAGATATTATTAAATAAATTCATCGTCATAATATTTCTTTAATTAAATCCTTCTACTTTTATAAATACATAAACGAAAGAACTGAATACAACAATCGATAATAGGAAGAAAAATTTTTTTCGAGAAAAAATGGTCATTGTCAGCTGATTATTTTATAATACCCAAGTTTCGTATAAATCATTTCGTAAAGTCAAAAAAAATGAGTTTGAAATAACTTCTCAAACGTTAGAAAAATCTTTGGATTAGACGATGTTAATGAGAATAACAATAAGATTCCTGAAGAAAAAAATAAAAAATAAACAAACAAATTTTCCTTTAAACAATAATGATAGTATTCAACTTGCAAAAAATATTACATATTCCTCCGAAAATTCGTGGAGCTCTTATGATATAGGTATGTAGTAACACATAGAAGAAATGATTGAATACAATTTTATCATGTTAAAAGTTGGACTGAATTCATCTCATAAATTTTGAAGATAACATTCGAATCGTGGTTGGATTAGACTTCGGAACAATTTACTCTGGATTTGCTTATGGCCATGTTTATTCACAACAAATAATTTGTCATACATGGGACCACCATTTTTATTTCAAACTTATACAGCACTTGAATACGATGATGAATATAATAAAGTAATATCGTGGGGCTTTCCAGCTAAACGAAATAAAGATGATAATAAGCCTGATGAACTGTTTAAATTACATTTGAGTGATATACCGGATGAGCTTAAACCGAAGCTTCCAGTTGGATATGAAAAGGCTATTACTGATTATCTTAGAGAAATTGTACAGGTATGATTAAAAATAATCAAAGTCATTAGTATGTTATTAATTTCAATTTCTTGAATGAAATATTTAAGGCGATTAAAGATGACCTTTCAAGACATTGGGATTCTTTAAATTTTTATAAGGATGTATTATTAGTTATTACGTGTCCCGCTGATTCTTCGGAAAATGCAAGTTCGATTATGAGAGAATGTGTATATAATGCAGGTGCTGATTGTAAATATATGTTCAAGTAAATTGCAATTCGGTACAGAAGGTGAGAACATTCACTATTGATTACTTCTTGATCTTTAGCTTCTAATTTAATAAGATCATTATTAGCTGAAGCTGCATCAACATATCGCAATTTTATAAGGCACGATCAGAAAAGTAAAATATCCTACGGAAATGGCCGAATTTCTAGCAATTATTTTTACGAGAAGCGTCACATATGTACTGTGCATGTATACCATTACCATTGTACAACATACACCTTACCGAAACACTCATAATTGTTCGTACTTATCAGACAACTAAAGATGCAGTTAATCTGGACTTTAAATATTAAGTGTTTGAAGATCTTTTATTTTAAAATAAAAACTTCAAAAACTTTTTTAGATTAAATTGATTACAAATGGTCATCGTTATGCCAATAAACGTGCCTCGTAATTTTTATTTTCATAACGCGATGTTAATTATTTTAAAAGAAAACGATCAAAGTATCTAATTAGAATAAAAAAATTTTCTGATTCAATTATCACCATTGGTTATTAATTAATTACTAAAGTGCTGAGGCTCGCATACGTTTCACATACAAGAAGATCTACAATGTATTACTATTACATTCTGTTATCGATCGTTATACAAGTTTGAAATAAATTTTTTTTTTTTAAAAAAATACTTATTTTTTACTATAAATTATAACATTGTCTAATAATAAATATAACGGTAAGTGTGTAATAAAGAAATTAAAAATATTTTTACCAAAAAATAAAAAGGAATAAAGATATAAAGCTTAGTATTGCAACTTTATGTATAGTGGTAGTTTTTGTAGTTGATTTGCAAGGTTCATCATATTTAACAACTGGATTATTCTTTTTTGACCTCATTTTTTAGCAGGAGGTTTTTGGGTTATAATTATTTCTGATTCTTGATTTTCTTTTAGAACTTAAAAAAAGTTAAGAATCCAATATATATTTTTGTTATAATATCAGTTTGAAATGCAAATTTATTACTTGAAGAACTGCTGACTTCGCCTTCGTCAACAGAAATAATACTTTGATTTTTCTTTTGAATTTACTTTTTAGGAGTAATTACCATTTATTTTATTTATTTGAATAGTTGATAAAAAATAATGAGAAAAAAAAATAATAGCAATTGTTTCTCTTTAAATAAAATAATACTATTGCGGCAAAGTAAATTAGACTTTATTATTGTACTAATTAGTTTAAGTTTAAATTATTAATGAAGAACAAATTAGTATTGTTATGTAAATATGATTAATCATTATTATTTGTCATAGTAGACTTTCATAGAAATTCTAATAACCATATTTGGTAATATAGATTTTAAATAAAACATATTTTCATCTCAGCAATAGATTAACAACAATAAATGTAATAGACTACCATAAATAATTAACACTTTATTTTCACTTTGAAAAAATGTTTCGAAATTGATATGCTTCTAATAATAGTCAATATAATCAACAAAACTATATCATGCAATATAACGCGTTTAATATATCTTTATTATTAAATATTAGAACAAATGGTTAGAATTAATTCTTGATTATTTTTCTGTTAAATTTTCTGTTAAATAATTTTTTTAATAAATTAAAATCAATATTTGTCATATTATGGTAACTCTTTCAAAAATATTTTATTTTTTTAGAAAATATAAATGCAACTAAAAATGATCATATTATGGATATTTATGATGAAGATAAAGAAATGATACCAGTTATTGACATAGAAAATGAGGTTGAAGATGATGTAGAACTTGATATAAAAAATGAAGAAGCAAGCGAAAATGAGATAAAATTTTGTATAAATAATGTAAGTGAATATGAAAGAATGATGTTGAAGTTTGATGAAAATAGTGAAGAAGATGGTGATAATAATGAATATTATAGCAATGAAGAGTCAAATGAAGAAACAATTGTTGATAAATCCTTCAGCTATAAACAAATGTTACAAATTTCTGGTGAATTTGCGCTATACTTTAAAAACATTACTAAAGCATTGTTATTTTGCTGGATAGAAAAACATCATATTTGTAAGTTAGATTTTTTTAAAATTTTAAATGATAACATAAAATTACAGCATTTTTTTATTAGCCACTCAAGCATATGATGAACTGGTTGACATAATTCATCATTCATAATTTAAAGGTGAAGACGTTATATCAAATAGTTGTCAATTTAGAAAGTATAAATAGATATTACCTCTGCTTTCAATTAAATCCCACAAAATTAATATATCTAGCAAAAAGATACCATCAACATTTAAAAATATTAGAGAAGCATATTTTTATCTATTATAGATATTATTTGTCATATTTTAAATAATCCTTTATTATTTAACAATATGTACACTCCCCGGTCAAAAGTATTGGACCAAAAAAAAAGTTATCGCAACTTTTAAATTTATGACTAATTTTA